CCATTGTCTCAAGTGACAGACAGCAAGTTGGGGCCATTTTTTTTTTTTTTTTTAGAACCAAGCATAGCCAACCTGGGCAAGTCCCCATTCTCTTCTGTGACCACTCTCCTAGGCCAGGTCAGCTCTGCAGCACCAAGCTCAATATGCAGAAACACATGCATAATGCACGGGAACATACATGGACACATGTCACTTCTCTGGAAAATTCTAAGTACTCCCAGTACCCCACTCAAATGTAAGCCCATGTGGTGATGAATGATCTTGACATATTTCAAAATATTTTACTGCACCAGGTTTTTGGATTTAATCAATTTTGGCAGCAGACAGATGAATATTTATTTCCAGGACATAGTAATGAGTCAAGGTCATTACTAAGCAGTGGGAAATAAAAAGACTTAATCAGATGCTTTGCTCAGTGGAGTTTCCATGTTACCTTCTCCAGCCAAAATCTGCCTGCTGTCTCTAACACATTTGAAAAATTATGGTGTTAAAAAAAACTTACTTGTTTCCTAGTTCTGTACAGTGGGGGAAAAAACCTCTATACAAGGATCAATCCAGCAGCAATGAATCTCCCTAGCACTCAGGCTGAGGCTGCTAAATAAGATGTTCCACTAAAAGCAACCAGGAATCCGTGGTAAAGTGGTGGATTGCAGTTCAGGGCAGGAAATGTCCAAGGTCCCTGGACACCAGGGAGCTCTTAAAGATGCCTGGGGTTGTATCAAAAAACTTGGGCCACCTTGAAGAGGTGGAACAATCTTAGCAACATTAAAATGAGTAACTGCAATACATTGAAACACTTCAAATACATCCAAATTCACCAGTTCATGGTATTAATGCAAATCCTTGGGAGAAAGCAAGATAATCATGTCATTATTTTGACAAGTGATAAATAAAGCTACAAGCATTTATTCTGCCTTTCCTGTATGTACAGCACTTCAGGGTAACAAAGAGTTAGTAAGGGAAGTTTCTCTTTATAAAGCATACCAGCTAATAAATGAAGAAGGAATGAGATTAGAACATTACCATTCTGCAGCCCCTAATGAACATGGATCTAGGCCATGATCATCAGCAGCTGCTAATACCACAAAAAGAGAGATAAGCAGCTACTATATGATCCCAATATTACATGTATGAACTATGCTATGTATGAAGGAGTTTTGCCAAAACCAAAACAAAACAAAACA